GGCTTAACAATGATTGTGAGGTTGGCCTAGGACCGGACAGTGTTTCGTTCTGTTGTGCATAGGGTTGCTATGAGTCGGTACTAACTCGATGGCACCTAACAACAATTTGTTGAACACTCAACATTTCATTCCTCCAAGATGGGTTGAACCCACTGGAGCACAGCAGCCAATATATGAGGAGGGTCCAAAAAGTTCATGGACTTTTACGTGGAATGAAAAAATAATGGAATTTTCACATGCACTTTTTGAAGCCCGTTTTTCAAATGACTAATGTGCTGAGCTGCTCACCAACATATTGGGGATTTGAGTCCACTCAGAGGTGAAATAAAAGAAAGACCTAGAAATCTACTTCTAAAGAATCAGCCATTGAGAGACCCACATTAAGCACAGTTTAAATGAAGCACAATTCTACTACGACACACATAGGGTCACCATATGTCAGAGTTGACTTGACAAAAACTGGTTTTTAGAGAAGTTCCTAGCATGGCCTGAAAATCCTGAAGTCTTTGAAATTAAAGGCATATCACTGTGTGGCACCATACAATAAGCACTCAACATCAAGGTCAGTTTGAACTACAAGGTCGGTGGTTCAAACTCACCAGCCACTCCTTGGAAACCCTATACAGGGTTACTGTGTGTCAGAACTGACTCAACAGCACTTAAAACCCTAGACTGCTAACCAAAACATCAGCTGTTCAAACCTACCAACTGCTCCACAGAAGAAAGATGAGGCTTTCTGTTCCTGTAAATATTTACAGTCTTGGAAACCCTATGGGCAATTCTATTATACCCCATGGGGTCACTATGAGTAAAATCAGCTCAGTAGCAGTGGGTTGCCCTCCTATTTTGAGTAGGGTGATCTCATTACTTCATGGCCCCCCATCTTTGTCTTTAGAAAAAATGCATGGGGAAGAAAATCTGAGAAGCCTATAGTAACCAGCTTGCCTTGAGAAGCGCTGTTGCTGTCTCTGAGAAATAGCTCTCCTGGGTATGATTTATCCTAGAATAGTAGTAAGATTTATAATGGAGCACATCCCACAAAGGCATGACATCAAAATATTCAGAATTATTTATAAGTCAGCAGTAGTGGCCATAGCTTTTTCAACTCTGGTATATGGCATATGTTTGTGAAAGAAGGAAGGATCGAGTAGTAATATCTATCATTATAGGGATTGCTTAAAAGGCAACAAGAAATTTAAGATGCACTCAAATTCACCAAAGGTGAACAGATTTGAGGCTTTGGTGTGAGGAAAGCAGTCTTCCTTTAAGCTCTGGCTGTCACTGTCTTGGGTATCTGTAAAATATAGATGAAGCTCCAGAATCCTCTGCTTCTGCATTGCATATATTTATCTGAGAGAAAAGACTACAACATAATAAAGTACTTGGAATTTAACAACTCAATATATGTGGCCATTTCTTTTCCAAAGAAATTATATTTGTCTTCGTGAATAAAAATAACAGTGCAATAAAGCATTAACTCCCCCCCACCCCCACCCCCCACCCCCACACACACAAAGTTTTGTAAATGCAGGAAGAAGACAGCCAGACAAATAGCAAGGTGGAGAAGGGTACTTTCTCGGCAAAGAGGCTTTCAGAAAAATACCTTCTCATGTTACCTTCTGACTGTTTCCTGATAGAGCTTCTGATGTTCATTTATTGTGGAGTTAGCACAAGTCTTCAGTATTGGTTTGTATTTTTTCTTGGATCCATCTCTTTAATTTCATCATCGAATCTACCATCCTGGGTTCCCTTTTGAAAAGAATCTAAGGAAAGTTTCTTTGTGCTGTTACTGCTCTTGTGCTGAGCTAGAATTTCTCCTGCTCAGTGTCTGGACACTGCTCTCTAGAGGCCTAGGCCAGGCTGAACACTGGGAATCAATTCAGAAAATGAGTGTTATGATAATGACTCTTGTAGCTTTTCTACCAGACTACACAAGGCCAGCTGATACTCTGAGATTTGTAGCTTGCCCACTGGAAAACTCTGTGGACTTGTTAGGATGTGGGGACTTGGAGCTTACCAGATAGTGAATGCCACTCCCGGTGTAATTCCTTAAAATAAAGCAGACTCCATAGCAGAGAAACGGTGAGTCCATCAATTTCATTCAGATAGAAGATGTTTTTAAGAGTGCACTGAATTCACCTGATTAAAAAATTCCCAAATTCATTCAAAATCATGACCACATAATCCATTTCTAACCTGCCTTGTCAAAATTCATGTTTAAGCGGTGGACTTTATTGGACAAAATAGCATTCATTATCTTTACTTTTCAGTGTTCTTTATAGTGGTTAAGAAACAGCTAAAGCTATAATGTGTCAGAAAGCCTGAACTTTGCTTTCTAAACAAGTAACTGAATGAGCTTAAATGAGGTCATTACTAATTTTAAATATCCAGTAAAGATGTCATGTAGAAGGGATCCTGTATCAACTAATGGTTATGTGCTGTGGAGTCAGTTCTGACTCATAGCGACCCTGTACTGGCTGGAAATCTTTACTGGAACAGAAAGCCTCATCTTTCTCCCGTGGAAACAGCTGGTAGTTTTGAACTTCTGACTTTGAGGTTCACAGCCTGATTCATAACCATTACGCTACCAGAAGTCCTTCCCATATCAACTATCAGGATTTCAAAAGGGCTCTAGTAGATGGAGTTATTGGCTGTAATTCTCTACACCATTCTATGCCCATGCCCACGCCCTCTACCTTGTAACTTTGCACAGCTCTCTGTAGAAGCAGAATGTATGAGGGGACTTCAAACAGTGCATGGGAAAACAGAATTTTTTTAAAAATGGCATTTTCCCATGAACTTTGTGAAGCCTCTTAGTCCATCCTAAACCTTGACTTTATACTTGGTTATGGGTCTTGCTTTGGCCAAGGGGAAGTTAGCAGAAGGGAGTCAAGCAGAGGTTCACAGTGTGTTTGTCCAGTTGAGTGTGGTCTCTTGTGTTTTTGTCATGATGATGAGAAGAACACACCACTTAGCCCCCTGTGTTGGGGTGGAGGTGGGGGGATGAAAGGACCTGGAGAAGACTTGCACCCGACATGCAGCTTAGCATCAAGCCCAACGAAGCCCTGCCTAGATCTCTCTACCCACCAACATGTGTGCCGATAAATGATTGCTGTTTTGCAGGATGGTTTGCTACACAGCACTACTATGATTGTTGTTGTTAGTCTATAACTCATGATGATTCTATGCACAACAGAACAAAATGCTGACAGGTCTGGTGCCATCCCTATGATCACTAGTAGATTGTACTATTGTGATATGTAGGGTTTTCATTGACTGAGTTTCCAAAGTAGATCATCAGACCTCTCTTCCTAGTCTGCCTTTGTCTAGAAGCTCCACAGAAACTGGTACCTGTTCAGCACCGTAGCAACATGCTGGCCTCCATGGACTGACAATAGCGGCTTGCTCATGAAGTGCATTGAACAGGAATTGAACCCAAGTCTCCTGCATGAAAGGGGAGAATTCTGCCCTTGACTCACCACTGTCCTCTCTGATTGTAGCAACTGTTGAGTAAGACAAGGACTGTTACAGACAACAATCGGTATAGGTACCTTTGATACTAGCAGTCCATTTTCTCTTACCTGGTTTATGATTTTCCTGCTTCTGAACATTTCAGCTCTTCTCTTCATCTTTTCCCTTCAAAGAAACATTATTGACACTACTTCTTGTTCCCAAATATACTGAAATGTTTGGAGTTGTATAGTCATTGTGTTCACACACCAGTATGGTGTGTTGGTTTAGATACTTGGGCTGTGGGTTAGACACTGGGCTGCTAACTGCAATGTCAGCAGTTCAAACCCATCAGAGGCTCTACAGAAGAACTATGCGGTTGTACAGACGAAGACTGACAGTTATGGAAACCCTAACTGTCCTGCTCTGTTTTACAGGTCACTGTGAATCAGAATCAACTAGATGGCACTGGGTTTGGTTTTGGTTTTAATCGGTAAAGATGACAGATTTCCCCAGAAAGAAGCGAATCCTACAAACACATACTCCAATAATAGATTCTCAAAATATGTTTTATGCTGCATATGACTGTTGATGTGTGTGTGTGTTTTAATGAATCATCAGACGTTTTCCAAGAACATCCAAAAACAAATCACTTCCACCTCTATAAGGCACTAGCCCTTTTGAACTATTTGAAAGTGAAAAAAATATTTAAAAAAAATATTTTAGATATATTTGTTTGTTGTTAGGTGCCATCGAGTTGGTACCGACCCATAGTGACCCTATGCACAGCAGAACGAAACACTGCCCGATCCTGAGCCAACCTCACCACTGTTGCCACACTTGAGTCCATCGATGCTGCTGCTTTGCCAATCCATCTCGTTGGGGGTCTTCCTCTTCTTCTCTGACCCTCCCCCTTCTCCAGCTACTGGTTCCTCCTGACAATATGTCCAAAGTATGAGAGACAAAGTTTGGTCATCTTGGCCTCCAAGGAGCCGAGACTCTGGCTGCTGGTGGTTAGCTATATTAAATGTAATTTTAAAAATGTCCCGTTCATGTAATGCTCCTGGAGTCCTGAAGTGACATTGTTGGATAAACACGGTTGGATAAGCAAGGTCAGTTTGAACGGCAAGGTTGGTGGTTCAAACTTACCAGTTGCTCTTTGGAAACCCTATACAGGGTCCCTATGAGTTGGAATCCATTCTATGGCACTTAGCAACAGCAACAATGTAATGCTCTAACAGAAAGGAAAAGAATTTACCAGTTAGAAGATAGAATCGGGAACTTAGAAGATGACTAAATCACATACTAATAAACAATAGTTAGTTTTCAGACAAACTAAGTTCACAGTGACGATAACTTCCCCTTCTGTTTGTTTTTTTTTTTTAGGCTATCTTGGTCACAGCACATCCACAATGTTACTAATAGATTTACATTTTGGTTTACAATCTCAGCAGCCCTGTTCTTTTTGAGCCCTAGTCCTTTGGCACCAGGTGTAACTAATTTCTCCAGTTCCCAAGTTTCCTTGATTGTTCTCTTTCTTTCCTCCACAGAGGCTTTTATGCAGAAGCGGGTCAATGTGAACGCTGCAACTCACCTTGCAGAACGTGTGACGGAAACGCCACCCACTGTTTGTCTTGTGAAGGAAGTTTGGTGCTGCAGCACGGCTTGTGTCGTGAAGCCTGCTCTGAGAGGCACGTGGCTATGGAAGGCGTGTGCAGGCACTGCCCAGAGATGTGTCAGGACTGCATCCACGAGGAAACATGCAAAGGTACTCAGGAGCAGCCTTTGGTGGAATGTGGCTTGGCTGTGGATGGCGTTCCAAAGAGAGCTGGAATAACCTCTCTCAGTCCTTTTACTGAAATGTGTTCATCTCCAGGCACATCACTGAAGAAATGAAGAGCGGCCCACAGCCTAATTTACATTGTGGATTCTGCAAGTGAAGACAAACAAGAGCCCCTTTTTGCCAGATTTATTTTACATACAAAAATAACTTAGAGCTCGAATATGAATACAAAGAGTGATGGTTCAAACCCACCAGCTGTTGTGCTGGTGGAGAAAGATGTATCAGCCTGCTTCCTTAGATGTTTCCAGTCTTGGAAACCCTAAGAGACAGTTTTACTCTGTCCTATAGGGTTGGTAATGACACGGCAGCAGAGTTTTGGGTTTATTGGTGACACAAACATTTAAGCACTTAATAGCTGAAAGACTGGCAGTTCAAATCTACACTGCAGCCCTTCAGAAGATAGTTCTGGAGACCTGCTTTCTCAGGTCACCTTGAGAACCCTAGGGAACACAGGCCCACTCTGCCCACAGGGGTAGCCATTGGTCTGAATCCACACCATTGTTGTTGTTTGTATGTGCCCTCGAGTTGGCTCCAATTCATAGCATCCTTGTATAGGATCTCTGAGGGGCGGCTGGTGAGTTTGAACTGCTGACCTTGTGGCTCAAACTGACTTTACAATCCAGCGTATTATATCCCTCAGCGTCACACCAGTCTCTGAATGAACTCCATAGCAACTACAATAATAATAAATTGAGCACTTAAGAGTCCCTGGATGGTATAACAGTTACTTTCTGCTACTAATCAAAGTGCTGTAAGTTCAAATTCACCCAGAGGCATATTGGAAGAAAATCCTGGTGATGTACTTCCAAAAAAATCAGCCACTTAAATCCCTGTGGAGCACAGTTCTTCTCTGACATATATGGAGTCACTGTGAGTCCTACCCAACTGGATGGCAACTGGTTTGGTTGAGCACTTAGTAGAGTCCTGGTGACGCTGTGGGATAAGCACTGAATGGCTAACCAGAAGGTCTGCAGTTCAAACCCACCAGTCTTTCCTCAGAAATCCTATACAGGGTTTCTATGAGTCGGAACTGACTTGACGGCACTTAACAACAACAAAAGGCAGCACCCAAGAAGAAGCTAAGGTTCCACCTTTTAGGGACAAAATATTATATGAGAAACTGATGTGAAAGAACTAGACAATGAGGCAGTTAGTCAGTTGTTATAAAAGATAAGAAAGAGAAGTTCTAGCAGCTGTAAGATGCCAAATATAACACTTTGACTACAAATAGGGGGTTTTCTTTTAGAATTATCTCCCAAAAGTTGTCATTGTCCTTCCCAAAATAAGAGATCATTTATGGAGAGCTGCCTTAAGGATTTTCTTGGTGTGACCTAAAATGTTTTCTGGGTTCTCACCCTAAATACGAAAATGAACACAAATAAAATGAACCCACAACACATTCTTCATACTGATTAACTAGGTCTGAGTAGTCAAAAGTGTTGCTACAAAATCACAGAAGCCTTTATTAAACAAAAAATATCAAAATGTGAAGCTATTGTTTCTCAACATATTCTCCATCTTTGTCTATACACTTCTGAAGGCGACATTTCCATCTCAATAACTCTTCCCTGAAGAAGTCTACACTCTTTCATTTACCACATCAAAAAGGCAGTTTGGGTATTCTCACAGGACTCTAATAGTGTTCCTTTTACATATTCTCTGAATATGGGGAACAAAAAGAAGTCTGCATGAGTGAGGTCAGGGCTGTAGGGATGGATTCCAATGAAATCCTCATAAGACCACCTTTGCATTATCATGATGGAAGACGATTCCTGGGCACAACTTCCCTGGCCGTTTTTCTCACCAATGCAGTCTCCACTTTTCTTAAAACTTCTTCATAACAAGCCCCTGTGGTTGTCCTGTGACCTTTGCAAAAAATCTATCAAGATTGTCCTTTTGGACTCCTAAGAAATAGCTGCCATAACCTTCTAAGATGACCTTCTTACCTTAAATTTAACTGGCCCAGCAGATCCCCTGGAAAGCCACTTTATTGATTGAACCTTATTTATTTATTTATTTGAAGGCACCCTCATGAGACTAAGTATATTAATTACTAAGAAATATATTGTCTGCAGCCATCCATGGATCACAGATACATGCTTAAATATATTTTGTTTGGAATAAGACCATGCATTTAGTATTAACTGGAACCCTAATACATTTTGATTTACCCTTATGTATACCTTAGTGTTAAGGAGCTCTGGTAGCGTAGTGGTTACGAATCGGGCTGCGAACCTTAAGGTCAGCTGTTTGAAACTACCAGCCACTCCACAGGAATAAGATGAGGCTTTCTACTCCTATAAAGATTTACACCCTCGGAAACCCTGTACAGGGTCGCTATGGGTCGGAACCGACTCGATGGCACTTAACAACAACAAGAACATACCTTAGTGTTACACTGTGGGTTAATGCACCAGACTGCAAAGCCGTTTGAACTGTAAGGTCGGGGCAATTCAAGCTCACCAGCATCTCCTCAGAAACCCTAGAGAAGGTCGCTGAGGGTCACTATGGGTCAGCACTGATTTAATGGCACTTAACAACAACAAATACCCTAGTAAGGAGCTCTGGTAGCATAGTGATTATGAGATTGACTTCTAACCTCAAGGTTAGCAGTTCGAAACTACCAGCCATTCCGTGTGAGAAAGATGAGACTTTCTGCTCCTGTAAAGATTTACAGCCTTAGAAACCCTGTACAGGGTTGCTATGAGTCAGAACCATCACCACCACCACCACCACCACCAGCATGGAGTCCTGGTGTGGCGCTGCAGGTTAATGTGTTGGATTGCAAGGTCAGTGTGAACTGCAAGGTCAGCAGTTCAAGCTCTCCAACTGCTCCTCAAAAACCCTATATAGTTTCGCTATGAGTTGGAACCGACTCAAGGGCACTTAACAACAACAACACACCCTAGTATGGAGTGCTGGTGTGTTGCTATAGGATCAGCCCTGGATAATGAACCACAAGGCTAGTGGTTCAAACCTGCCAGCTGCTCCACAGAAACCTTGTACAGGGTCATTATGAGTCAGAATCGACTTGATAATACTTACCAATAACAAAAACATATCCTAATATATTATTTATTGATCAATTTTTAAATGAATTGATCCAATAATTCCTAAGCTGCTTTCTGTATTGCACAGAGTGTGAAGATCTCAATACATTTTTTTTTAATCTAAAAATGCTTTTCAAGTTTTCTCAGCAATACATTCAGCATCTCAGTCCTCACTCATCTACCACAGCTCTGCAGTTTTTTGCACTTTCAGGAGGCAGTACCATCCAGTTGAGCCACCCTGATTGACCTCCTATTCCCAAGGGATCTAGAATGTACTCTAGCAGAGGTGGTGGTAGTGGTGGTTATGTGCCGTGGAGTCGATTCCAATGCAGAGCGACCCTGTACAGGGTTTCTGAGGCTGTAAATCTTTACAGGAGCAAAAAGCCTCATCTTTCTTCCATGAAACAGCTGGTAGTTTCAAACTGCTGATCTTGAGGTTAGCAGCCCGATTCATAACCAGAGCTCCTTCTGGCAGAGTTGGTAAACAGGGCAAATGTATCCCATTCTTGTCCCCACATGCTCAGAGTAACTTACAGTCCCCTCCTTCCCTGTAGAGTGCATGCCGAATTTCTTTCTCTACGATGATGAGTGCCACCAGTCCTGTCCCCAAGGCTATTACGAGGATGCTCGCCAGTGTGTCCCCTGTCACAAGGACTGTCTGGCGTGCAGTGGTCCCGGTGATGACAACTGTGACGTCTGCACTGACAAGTACTTGTTCCTCTATGACGGGCTGTGTTTGGAAGCGTGTCCAGCAGGAACTTACTTGGAAAGCGAGACCAACGAATGCAAAGGTAAAGACATCTGGGCAGTCATAGCATACAGATTTTCTGGAACCATTGAGGTTGGATAAATCCCTGAAACTATTGTCTTGAGATCATCTTGAAACCTTAAGTCTTAAACCAAAAGTATTCCTTGAAGTCTTCTTTAAACCAAGCAGCTATTTACCTTAATTAGTAAAGAATGGCTGCATAGAGCTTTGCACTCCTTTAAGAACAATCTAATGGGATTAAATGGACAACAGTGACTTGAAACTTTAGGGGGCAGTGAGCTTATATTAGTGGGGGAGGAGGAATTCAGAAAAGGAGGGTGAGGATGGTGGCACATCTTGGAGAATGGCATCAACGCCACTGAATTGGACATTGTTGCGTTGCTGTATGTTCAGCAGTGTATAGTAGCCCTGGTGGCATGGTGGTTAAAGTTACACTGCTCACTAAAGGAGCATCAGTTCAAACCCAGGGGAGAAAAGAGTTAGCAATCTGCTCCTGTAAATACCATAGCCTAGGCAACTCTATGGAGCTGCTGTACTGGGTCCTATAGGGTTGTTGAGTCAGAATCAACTTAACACACACAACAACCACAGCTACTGTGTGTATTCTCAACAACAACAGCAAAGTAAAATAAATTTAAATTTGTATATATAGGTGATTAAAACATAATCATAAAAAGACTTGCAGGAAGTATGACTGAGTAGTCTCCCAAGGAGCTTCCCAAAAGTGTGGGTTTCTGCTGACACGCAAGAGGCTCTGAGGTTTGCACAGTTTTTAAACCCAGAGCTGCCCATCTATCACCCCTTTCCCTCCCATTCCAGTGAGCATATTTTGCATCTGTTCTCATTTATTTTTGCATTATGTAAAGAATTGTTTAAAGCCTTGGTAAGGTAACTTTTATTAATAATAACCAGTTCCTTCAGCCCTCCTCAGCACAGTGGCTGAGAACTACTGATCCCAAATGATTTTCACATGCAGCTGTACGACACAGACGATGAGTCTCCAAGAGTCGCCAAAGATGGAAATTTGTATTAAAATGTCAAGTCATGGCAAGTTTGTAGCAGCAGAAGCTAAACTATCCCACAGAGGACTTTCTTGGTGTCTCTGGTCCCCTTCTCCCACATCACCCTCAGGGGCAGAACCTCTGCTCTTGGTCTCCCACTGCATCTACCCCCTTAGCACTTTAGTCCCGACACTTTCAAGAAAGGATCTGCTATTATTTATAGAGAGCCCTGGTAGCATAGTGGTTAAGAGTTGGGCTGCTAACCACAAGGTCAGCAGTTCAAATCTACCAACCACTCTGCATGAGAAAGATGAGACTTTCTGCTCCTGGAAATATTTACAGCCTTGGAAACCATATACAGGGTTGCTGTGAATTGGAACCAACTTGATGGTACCCAAGTTCCTTTGACCTCTTCTAATCTTTCTTTAAGTGCACTCCTGTGTTGGGTTAAAAGTTAAAGTAATGGAGCTCTGGTAGCGTAGTGGTTACGAATCGGGCTGCAAACCTTAAGGTCAGCGGTTCGAAACTACCAGCTGCTCCGCGGGAGAAAGATGAGG